ATGCCGGCTGCAGATTCTGCTGCTGCGGCTGCACATCTGAAGGCGTGAACGAGGGTCGCTGTTGCTTGCTGTACGAAGCTCCTCTATTGGATGTCGCTGCGGATTTCTGCACAGGGGACACGAATCTAGCTCCTGAATAGTCTGAAACAAGAAAAACATACAACTTGTATGCTCATCGCTGCGTGGTCAAAACTCTCAACACTCACTTTGATGACCGTTCATTGAAGGCCCCTGTCCGCTCTGTACACTGATAACGCCGGTTCCGGGCGGAAAAGGGGAAACGTTCTGTATGTTCACTTGTTGTATGGACATGGTCGCATTGACGTAAGTATTGTTCACCATCGGCAGGGCAGTTTGTTGGCCAAGGTTGCCTAAAAAACACGCATTCGTGTCGAACATCGCACAGCCTAGACTTGTATCGCACAACTCACTGGCATTAAGTTCCGGATTTGCAGGACCCATATGCTGCATTAAGTTTGGATTCATTTGGTTATAGATCACGCTACCAGGCGGATAATCGTTCAGATCAACCGCCCCTGGATTGTGCTGTTGCTGTTGGTACTGTAGATACGGATTCGGCGGAGAGTTTACGAAACCGGCATCCATATATCTGAAAGTTATTGATAAAAAGCGGATATAAAAAACCGATTCGAAAATCTGGAAAACAAATGAAAATAAGAAATGGCATTAAAATGTGAGAAAAATGACCAACTTGGCGATGTTCAAATAAAAACCATAAGAAGATGAACACAAAAAAGTAAAGGCTGAATGGGACAGTAAATTAAAGTAATTAGAGTCAGTTGTGGCAAGAAATCGCACAATTTTAGCGTATATTTTTGTAACTTTTCCAATCGTCAATTTCGTCGTCACAGAGTAAGGTAATGTAAGAAGATATGGCCATATGAAAAGAAAAATTAAAGTTTATCACCGTTGCAATGCTGGTTCTTCTTACACTTTTAGGATGCAGCCTACTCTAGCGCCCTCGTTTCCATAAAGTTAATGGTGAGACACTGATCCCCATTTCTATGGAGTGACAAAAATAGTGTATAGTCCCTTATTTCCTTCTGAGAGAGTGGTACTCGTTAATAAACCTCGGAAGAGAGGAAGGCCTATGACCTAACCAGCTGCAGAACCTGGAGCCTCTCGGTTATGAGTCTAACGTTCTATCGACTGAGCAACCTTAGTCAAGTATGAGCAGAAGACACAATATGAATAGAAGTGGACTCAAATATCGGCTAGGCGCTCAGCTCTTGATTCCGCATGTAGAAGATTAATAATAATAATAATGAATGCTGTAAGCAAAGTTTACCCGACATCGGCGGCCATCATACCATAGGTGGCATTCGGATCCATCATTTGAGGTTCCGGCAGTCCAGATGATGAAAGGGTGACTATTCCGCCATACTGTCGCGACTGGGCTTGAAACATTGGATCGTTCATTGCCGAGGAGTCACACATTCCAGCACCCATCGCCATCGCATTCATGTACCTCGGACAAGATTGTTGCTGTTTCGCCGGAAAACCGTAGTTCATTTGCGGCTGTGACGAATCGTAAGGCCCGTTTGGAGGACCTCCATACATGGTCTGACCACTGTTCATCGGAATGAACACTGGAGACTTCGAATCAATGAAATTGCCGCGAGCCGGAGTCGATGCCATCCTAGACGAACGGGCCCTCTGTGGCGTACGAGGAGGAGCCACCGGCGGAACCATCATCGCTGGTTTTCCTTGCACCGTCATTTTCGTTCCGGGCCTAAACAAACTTTCGAACGAATAAATACTGCGATGCAAACACTACACTTTGAAATATCGTTTGTTTAAGCTTCTTAACAGAGTTCAAAAAATTAGATAAAATTACGTTAATCCGATTCAGGCCTTTGCGAAAAATTTCTATTGAAAGAACCTAATCATTCAGTAATACATTAACAGCACATGTTTATGCATAATATGCTAACAGTTAAATATAGCATAACGTTCTGTGCACAGACAGGGATTGGCCAGTCTGAAGTGTCGGACTCAGAACCGAGAAGGGCTGAGTTCGAGTTACGGTCAGATCACTTGCCTTTCTTCCTTCCGCGGTTGAGAAATGGGTACTACTCTATGGGAAGGAAAAAGTAGACTACACATTATGCTTGAAATACCGCAGCAGATTTTGCCCTTAAAATAAGGCAAACGCGGTTAATGAAATGGAGATGGAAGTAAGCGCTTTTTACTTCATGAAAGAGTCAGAAATGAACCCATCATAAAAGTGTACGGAAGAGAGACATTGCAGTGGTTACAATCTTTCCTTTCCGTGTACATCGTCCTGAGACTTTTGAAATTTATAACTTATAACTAAGTTTTAGTTTTTTTCAGTAACCGGTCAAAAGCGTTTCCGATGAAAGCGCGTAAGCGAATACACTTTTAGCCGTGGAAAAATCATATGCAAACAAATTAGTCTATAAAAATACAATTAACAGATTTCGAGATCTGGTTAATCAATCTACATAATGCAATTTCAAATGTCTTACGTTACTTTCGAATGGAAATGATTTCGAAATAGCACGAATGAAAAGACTGACTGAAACTGTCAGTCACGGATCTTCCCAAAAGTCTTGATGTGTGATCACAGTAGACTTCATGCAACATAATTCGTCAGAGCTATGCACCTCATGTATTGCTCATTCCAAGACTACAATTAACGCATTGAAGAAAGATGTTGAACGTTGACCATAAAAGCACATCTTAATAAACACTAAATAAATAATATCTAAGTGGCAAATTATATCAGATGCAACGCTGCTTAATTCGATTCAAACATACCGAACGAAAGGGGCCGTTTGATCAACGGCGCCAGGGGTGGATGGTGCGCTTCGACACAGCGGTGCCGTTAAGGCAGGGCCCATGTTCTGCTGCATCTGCTTTTTGGCCTCGTGTTCAGCAACTAGTTGCTGCCACTGCATCTGCGCCTCAGCGTGGTGCTGGTCGGACTGTAAGGCGATTCTCGATGGAACGGTGAGCACTCCACCGTTACCGCCCCCTGCTGCAGGAGGAACAGGAGTCAAAACTAAAAAAAGCAAAATAATCATTTGTATTTTACAGTATAACTCCGCCATGGCCGGTCCCAAGCCCGGATGAGAAAGGAGGAGGGTTGGAGACCGTGGCAAGTCTC